TCTCTTTTGCTTTGCTCGATTTTGGATGTCCGCAAATAACAATTATTCTCAAGTTGAGTTTCATCTATCGGGCTCAAACTCGAGACATATATTTTAACAATCTCCACCTTGGCTCGACGTTTGAGCCAAGTAACAATCACTTCAATAGAATCTGAATTCCGCTACTACTCTCTCACAGCCCCAATGGGCTCAACCGCCACAGACGTCTTTCAAGTCCAAGCCTCGCTTGAACTTCGCCATAGCCGTGGACCTCATCAGAATGCCAACTCCACATGCACCTTTAACCGCTCCACAAGGATTTTCCGACACAACCTCCTCAATCGCAGATAAAGCAAAACCATCGTTGCATCCATATCTATCAGGAGATCGAATACGCACCTTGTCAATTTCAGCAGTTACAGCAACCGTTGGCTCAATAGGCTCCACCTCGCTATAAGCACCATCCGTGTCGATTATTTCGTTAGTACCCGCTACCTAAGGAGTTTCTGGTTACAACTCCACCTCAAGCTGAACACCGTCCAGATCCGTATAAACACTGCTATTAACACTCCTAGCCAGAAGTACTGGAGACTCGTCAAATGTAACTTCTCTGCTGATAATAGGTGAATTTAATTCCGGGCACCACAACTTATAGCCCCGCTCACCTTGTGCATAACCTAGGAACATGCACTTCATTGTCCTTCCATCGAGCTTACCATCACTAACTCGAACATAACATGGACAACCAAATATTCTAAGAACAGAATAATCAGCAACGTTACCTGACCATACTTCTTCGGGAGTCCGACATTCAATCGCAGTTGATGGGGATTTATTCTTCAGGTAGCTCGCCGTACTAAGCGCATCCGCTAGAAATCTCCTAGCCATACCAGCACTAGAGAGCATTTTATGGGCCATCTCTAGTAATGTTCTGCTCATCAACTCTGCAACCTGTTGTGGTTCATTGACACTAGTGCGGTGTCTCACTATGCCTTCCTTCATGCAGAATTTGTTTAACAGCTCCGAGCAAAACTCCATACTACTATCAGTCCGCACCTGCTTGATCATTTTACCAGTCTCCTTTTCGATCAAAGCTTTCAACTGCTTGATCCTGACAACAGCATCAAACTTGTGCCTTAGCACAAACACCCAAGTCTTCCTCGAGTAGTCATCAACAACTGTTAACATAAATCTGACACTCTTCCTCGAAGGAAATCTCGACAACCTGCGAACATCTAAGTGAATCAATTCTGCAATTTCCGTGGTTTCTCTGACAACCGTACTGAACTGCACTTTCTGCCATTGATCTATATCACAGCACCTGCATACATTCAGTTCGTTAGCCACATAACCACATAGCAAATTTCTTTCACTTAGAACCTTCAGGCTTCTCTCGCTAATGTGCCCCAAACGCATATGCCACAATTCAGACTCTCGAATCGATGCATCCGACGTCTCCGCAGCAAATTCCGTCACTGTCTCACCTTGAAGCTCATACAAGCCACTATGCTTGATTCCTTTCATTATCACCAAGGCACCTCGAAGAACTTTCAGAACTCCACATTCTGAAGAATATCGACACCCAGTTGAATCTAGGGCACTCAAGGAAATCAGATTTTTTCTTCAACTCTGGAACATGCCTCACTCCAGTCAATGTCCTCACAATACCATCATGCATTCTGATTCTGACATCACCAACACCTACAATATCACATTCATAATTGTTCCCCAACTGCACTTTACTACTATCCGTGCACTGATAAGTAATAAACCAATTCCTGTTTGGTGTAGCGTGAAAAGAACAACCAGAATCCATAATCCATCCATCAAACGATGAATTATCAGTGACAGACAAGACAAAATCAGCATTATCCGAATTACTGTCAGCTATAGCTGCAACATCATCCGCAGGATCAACTCTAATTCCCTTACCCTTATCGTTTTTCAGCTTAAGGCAATCCCTTCTAATATGCCCCCTCTTGCCACAACTCCAACAGACAACACCACCAGTCCTAGACTGACTTCGTCTATTCGAGTTCATACTACTTCTGCTAACACGTGTACCAGTTCTTCCTCTATTTTCACCTACTAAAGCAGCAGATACATATTCGCCAGATTCTCTTCTACGGATGTCTTCACTCAGAATTAAATCTCGAACACCATCAAATGTCAAACTTGTTGACCCAGAGGAATTACTAACAGCAGTAACAGTAGTATTCCAACTATCAGGCAATGAGGATAATAGAATCAAAGCACGTACCTCATCTTCAAAGTCAATATCAACTGAACTCAATTGACTAACGATCACATTGAATTCATTAATATGATCAGCAACTGACGCACCTTCGCTCATCTTCAAGTTAAACAGACATCGCATCAAGTAGACTTTGTTAATCGCAGAGGGTTTCTCGTACATGTCCGACAGGGCTTTCATCAAACCCGCAGTGGTTGTCTCTTTCACGATGTTAAACGCGACGTTACGTGCCAACGTCAACCGAATAACACCCAAAGCTCGTCTATCTAGCAATTCCCAATCAGCTTGCTTCATCGTCTCTGGCTTCTCCCCAGACAAGGGCAAGTGCAGTTTCATCTGATATAGATGATCCTCAATCTGCATCTTCCAAAAACCAAAATCTTTCCCATCAAATCTGTCGATTCTCACTTTTCCTTCTTCTATCGCCATCGATTCGCTTCAACTCAGCCAAATCTAGCTCTGATACCAATTGTTGTGGAAGCCAAGCGATCGAATAATAAAATTGACAGAATAAGAAAATAAATCGGACACCAGATTTACGTGGTTCGGTCGTAGTGACCTACGTCCACGGGGAGAGCAGCACGGAATTCCACTATAGATCAAGCGATACAACGGAGATTACAACCACACTCGAGTCACTCAAACACTCTAAGTGTTTCCCAAGCCCCAATTACACCTAATAACTCACGTAGTGTTTAACCCTACAATTCCTCATGAAATAATCTCTCAATCTCACGAAAGAATTATACACAAATCTTATCATAAGATTTATGCTTGAACACTAATTCTTCTTGGATGTAATTCACGAATGAGAATCCACGGAAACACCCACCGCCAAGCACTCACGAACGTCTTCACGTCAACCGCGGCGCTTCAAGACTTCTTTATCAACAATGGCGCTCTGAACCAAATGTTTTATCTGCCCTTGATCCCCAAATTGCAAAGGCTTTATGCGTCTCAAGCCACTGCTGAACACATGACTTGGCATGCAAATCATGAAACAGAAGAGGGTCTAATGTGTCATCCTTCAGATGCAGAGGCATGGAAACATTTTGATAGAACATACCCTGAGTTTGCGATAGAGCCTCGAAACATCAGGTTAGGTCTCTGTGCTGATGGATTTGCCCCATTTGGAAAATCAGAGAAAAGTTATTCACGTTGGCCAGTTATCTTAACTCCGTACAATCTTCCACCCGGTATGTGCATGAAGACAACTTATATGTTTTTGACATTGATCGTGACTGCTCCGCAAAATCCAAAAAAGTTGATAGATGTTTATATGCAACCATTGATTGAAGAGTTACAACGGCTATGGAATGAAGGTGTCGTTACGTATGATGTTTCTACTAATCAAACATTTGTAATGAAGGCTGCTCTTCTTTGGACGATAAATGACTTTCCAGCATATGGAATGTTATCTGGATGGAGTACAACTGGGATCTTAGGATGTCCAATATGTTTGGAGAGATCGAAGTCATTCAAATTAAGACATGGCAAGAAGCCCAGCTATTTTGACTGTCACAGACAATTTTTGCCGATGAATCATACATTCAGAAGGAATAAAAAAGAGTTCATCAAGAATAGGATTGAAAGAACTCCTCCACCATTGAGGTTGACCGGTGATCAAATATGGGAGCGAGTGCAGGACTTTTCAACTGTTGTTGAAAACCCTCATGGCACAACTATTGCGTACGGAAGTACACATAAGTGGACTAAACGCAGTATATTTTGGGATCTACCATATTGGAAGGCCCATCTTATTCATCATAATCTTGACGTCATGCACATTGAAAAGAATGTTTTCGACAATGTCATAAATACTGTGATGGATGTCACGGGAAAAACAAAAGACAACTTGAATGCAAAAAAAGATATGAGAGATATTTGTGATCGGCCAACATTAGATGTGGATGCAAGCAGCAGGGGACCAAAACCAAAAGCAGTTTATACATTGGATAAGGAGCAGAGACGAGTCGTTTGTCAATGGTTGAAATCTGTGCGGTTTCCTGATGGATATGCTTCGAACATCAGGAGATGTATTGATTTGAACAAATGCAAGTTGACAAGATTAAAGAGTCATGATTGTCACATACTTATGGAAAGAGTAATTCCAATAGTTTTGAAGGAACTTCTACCAAACTTTGTATGGGGCACCATTATAGAGTTAAGTAATTTCCTTCATGATATTTGCTGAACAGTATTAAAAGCATCACACTTGGAGAAACTGGAGAGAGACATTCCAAATATTCTTTGCAATTTAGAAAGGATATTTCCTCCATCGTTTTTTTATTCAATGGAGCATCTCTTAGTTCACTTGCCTTATGAGGCCAAAATTGCGGGTCCTGGCCAATTTCGATGGATGTATCTATTTGAGAGGTAAAAAAATTTTCAAAATAAATTTCAAAATACTTTATTATATATTATGTTCTGATAAACTTCTTTCTATTGCATCAAGGTTCTTATATCATTTGAAGAAAAAAGTAAAGAATAAGGCATGTGTTGAAGCTTCAATTTGTAATGCATATATTGTGGAAGAAGTGACAACATTTACATCATACTATTTTGAGCCGCACGTGCAGTGCAAGAGGCAGAGAGTAGGATGAAATGATGAGGGTCCCATCGATCCCAATTGCAAATCGTTTTCTATTTTCAATTATCTCGGTCGACCAAGCGGCGCATGTAAGTTTCGTTACTTAACAGGCGAAGAACGACAAGCAGCCCATACATATATTTTACTGAATTATCCAGAAGTGGAGCCATACTTCCAGTAAGTGTATATTTGCAAATATATGTATTGCGTGTCAAATATTTACTAATATATAAATGTAAATTGTTAATAGGATTTTTCAAAATTCAATGTATGGACTACCGTCAAATGAGTTTGACCGTTTGTGCGATGAACAATTTGCAGCATGGTTCAAAACATATGTAAGTTGCCTATAAACCAAAACCAAGTTGTTAATATTTTATACATCATTTAAATATATATTATTGACTTTGCGTGTGTAATCTTAGGTTCACAGTAATCATAATCAAGTTGAAGAGCAAGGATTGTTATATTATCTGTCATGGGGTCCACAGTCAAGCATACGAACTTGGCCAGCATATTTCATAAACGGGTATAATTTTCACACTCAAGAATATGGAATGGGAAAAGCCACAATGAATAGTGGTGTGTGTGTTCGATCATCCAATTGTGTTAGTTCAAAAGATGATTTTTATGGCTTGTTGGATGAAATCATCGAAATAGAGTACCCCGGACCATTAATGCGGGTTGTGTTATTTAAGTGCATGTGGTTCGACTCCGTCAAAGGATTAAAGGTGCATACGAAGTTTAATTTGGTTGAAATAAATCACAAGAAAAGGTATAAGAAATATGAACCATTTGTGTTGGCACAACAAGCAATTCAAGTATATTATGCATCATATCCTAGTTTGAAACGTGACAAAGCTGATTGGTGGGCTGTATGTAAAACCAAAGCACAAAGAAAAATCGAGGAACACTGGAAGGATACAGCATATCAACAAGAGGAAGTTTGTAACGTGGTTCAAACTGAGGAATATAATATTCCTACTCTACGAGATCTATGTGGAGTAATGATAGATGTAGATCTAACTGAAATTCGCGAATCAAATTTAGAAGGTGTTGCAGAATCTGATTTTGAGACAAATGATGATAAGGATGATGAGGATGATGATGATGATGATGATGACGATGATGCTCAAGAAGAAGATCAAGATCAAGATCAAGATCAAGATAAAGACAAATATTTAGATTTTTTAGACTTTTTACTAATTATGTCGTAATTATTATTATTATTATAATGATAAGAGTTTATTGTTGTTGTCATATTTATTATTGTTGTTGTTGTCGTAATTATTAGTGTTGTTGTTGTTGTTGTTGTTGTTGTTGTTGTTGTTATTTGTTATTATTATTATTGTTATTGTTGTTGAATATTATTATTGCTATTATTGTTAATGAAATGTTATTGTCGGGAAAAAAAATGAATTACGTGTGTGTGGGATAGTAGAAATGAAATTCGTGGCTAAAATCCATGGCAAATTTGCCACGAATTTTAGCCACGAATTTCATGAAAAAATGCCCATACACATGCCTACGTCCATTTTTTATGAAATTCGTGGCAAAATCCGTGGCAAATTTGCCACGGATTTTAGCCACGGATTTCATAAAAAATCCCACAAACATGAGTAAGTAATTTTTTTATGAAATCTGTGGCAAATTTGCCACGGATTTTAGCCACGGATTTTAAAAAAATCCCACTCACATGACTACGTAATTTTTCATGAAATTCGTGGCTAAAATCCGTTAGCAAATTTGCCATATGATTTTAGCCATGAATTTCATGAAAAAATGCCCATACACATTCCTACGTCCATTTTTTATGAAATCCGTGGCAAAATCCGTGGCAAATTTGCCATGGATTTTAGCCACGAATTTCATAAAATGAATTTTGGGCATTTTTATGAAATTCGTGACTAAAATCCGTGGCAAATTTGCCACGGATTTTAGCCACGGATTTTAAAAAAATCCCACTAACATGACTAAGTAATTTTTTATGAAATGCGTGGCTAAAATCCGTGGCAAATTTACCACGGATTTTAGCGACGAATTTCATAAAAAAAATGCTCATACACATGCCGACGTCCATTTTTTATGAAATCAGTGGCTAAAATCCGTGGCAAATTTGCCACGGATTTTAGCCACGAATTTCATGAAAAATTACGTAGTCATGTGAGTGGGATTTTTTTAAAATCCGTGGCAAATTTGCCATGGATTTTAGCCACGAATTTCATAAAAATGCCCAAAATTCATTTTATGAAATTCGTGGCTTGCCACGGATTTTAGCCACGAATTTCATGAAAAAATGCCCGTACACATGCCAACGTCCATTTTTTTAAAATTCGCGGCAAATTTGCCACGGATTTTGCCACGAATTTCATGAAAAATTACTTAGTCATGTATGTGGGATTTTTTAAAATTCGTGGCAAAATCCGTGGCAAATTTGCCACGGATTTTGCCACAAATTTCATGAAAAACGAATTTTGGGGGCTTTTTTAAAATTCGTGGCTAAAATCCATGACAAATTTGCCACGGATTTTGCCGCGAATTTTAAAAATATTAGGGTTTGCCGCGATAATTTTATATTTCGATTCGAATTTGCCGCGACAAAATAAAAATTCGTGGCTAATATCGTGGCAAATTAGCCACGGAATAAAATTCGTGGCTAATTTGCGACGGAATTAGCCACGAATTTTATTCCGTGGCTAATTTGCCACGATATTAGCCACGAATTTTAATCCGTGGCTAATTTCAGCGGAAATTCACAAAACGGCGTCGTCTTCATGTGCGGGTACAAATTAGGGTTTCTTCTCTTCTCACGATCGAACCAATCTTCTCTTCAACATCTCCCTCTTCTCTGTCTCTGTCTTCTCCCTCTTCTCTGTCTCTGTTTCTCGGTCGAACGATTCTCGGCGACCTTTGGCGTTCTTCGGCGTTCTTTGGCATTCTTCGGCGCGATTCTCGGCGTTCTTCGGCGGCGGACGCTGGGAAGCAAGGACACCCAGCGCGCGGTCTGCTTCTGTTGGGTTCTTCGGCGGTGTCCGAGAGTGTTCGGTCTGCTTCTGTTGGGAAGCGAGAGGTACATTTGCTTGGGTCTGGTTTTCGACGTTATTTCTAGGCGTTTGCGTCTACTTCTGCTTCTGTTCTGATGTTTGTGTTGGGTCTGCGTTATTTGTGTTGTTTGCTTGGGTCTGCTTCTGCTTATGCTTCTGTGCTTCTTCTTCCGCTTCTGTGCTTCTGCTTCTGTGTTGGCTTCTGTGTTGGGTCTGCTTCTGCTTCGTTCTGTTTGTGGGCGAAACAGATTGGGTCTGTTTCGCCCACGAATTTGGTTCTGTTCGTGGGCGAAACAAAAACAGACCCAATCTGTTTCGCCCACGAATTTGGTTATGTTTCGTGGGCGAAACAGAATGGTTCTACTTCTGCTTCTGTGCTTCTGTGTTGGCTTCTGTGTTGGGTCTGCTTATGCTTCGTTCTATTCGTGGGCGAAACCGATTGGGTCTGTTTCGCCCACGAATTTGATTATGTTTTGTGGGCAAAACAGAACCATTCTGTTTCGCCCACGATCAGAATCAAATTCCTCGGATTTAGGTTGAAATTTGGTCGGATTTAAGTTTAAATTTGGTCGGAATGAGCTGAAATTTGGTCGGATTTGGGTTGAAATTTAGTTGAAATTCGTTTGAAATTTGGTCGGAATGAGGTGAAATGTGATCGGAATGAGCTGAAATTTGGTCGGTCAAGTGGAAACGACCCGCTGATCCGAAATCACTACCTTTGGCTGTGATGCAAGTCATTTTTTGGCATTTCGGAGTCGTTTAGATGGGTTTTTTGGCAAAAAAACTATTCTGGTGAACAGTGTTTTCGTGACATTTGCTTTTTTTTTTTTTCGTTTCGAAGTCGTTTTATTATTATTTTATTTATATCTAGGTTTGAAAACTATTTCCAAACCTTCTTTGGCCTAGGTTGAAGCTTTGGCCATCGAGAGTCGTTTCGGAGTCGTTTTAATTAACTTGATAAGAACGAAAATGATGTCATAAGTGATCCTCAAGTAAGTTGTCATTCCGTGAGCTTCAAATCCCACATACCTAATATTGCTTCAACAACCTCAAGTATAGGCATTGCTGTCCGTTACAAGAGCATGTTGAAAGGGCTAATTCTTGTTGCTAAAAGGAAAATAAGAAATAATTTGCAATAATGTGTATCAAAGCATGGGATCCTAAGTGTTTGATATCTTTTAGCAGCAGTAGTTTAAGTATTGTATACTTTATGTGCACCATAATGTCTCATAATAGTAAACGCACTCTACTTTGACATCATGACAAGTTCAAGTGGCACTGCATATCTTGGAACTACTTTAGAAAGTAAATTGGAATGTTCTTCTACTGATCTGAATTGGCTTCTATATGTCTTGAAATTCAGAGATGGTGTCCTTTTCATTATGCATCCTCCGAATGCAGTTAGAGAAGAGTAAAAACTTGTCCTAACTGTGATGCCTTATTATTATTTTATTTATATCTAGATTTGAAAACTATTTCCAAACCTTCTTTGGCCTAGGTTGAAGCTTTGGCCATCGAGAATTTCTGGAATGGCTCCCTTCGGGGTAAAGCCTTATAATTACTTGTTCAAAACTTACTGATTTCCTTGTTGAAGTTGATATATTCATTTTAAAGGGATATGTGTACCATAAATCATAAAATTTGTTGTGAAAGTGTAACTTATTAAGTTTTAAGGCTTTCAAAACATGCAATCAAATTTTAAAACAAGTCGAATTACAGCAATTAACAGAAAATTTGATGACCCTGACCAGCTAGATGAGTTCAGCTATTTTTACTGTTGTAGGACCAGAAATTTAGCTCGTAGACATTTCTAGACAACTTGCTTTTTTTCAGGGATCAAGTTTCTCTCTTGCTCTCAATAACAAAATTGTAAGCTTCACGACATACGTCATTATGTGTCCCTAATACATGTTCATAATTTTTTACATTTTTGTCTAACCTTGCAACTTTTAGTATAAACGTGGAGGTCACATGCGTCGTGGTGATGCTTCACAAAGAAGACCAGGCCCTTCCCTTTCCTCGTCCTCGTCCCCGTCCCTTTCCGCTTCCCCTGCCCTTTCATCTAACCCTCAACCAGTACATGGACACATTGGCCCTTCCTCCGACCCTCAAATGCGAATTGAATTTACTTCAATTCCATCGCCTTCGATTCCACCTTCTTCTTCAACGCAACACTCGAATTATGAAGAAGATAATCGATTCATGATAGCCCCATTTGGAGATTCGTACGTACTTCATTTTTTTAAGTATATATAAATTATTATGGATGTCAACTGAATTGTCCGTAATGCTTCACGGATGCTACGTATGTTGAAATCGTTATAACCTGTTTGCAGATTCACGGATGCTACGTATGTTGTGAGGAGGCTTAATAAAATAATCAATAACTGTTGGATGGGGCAGTATAGTAGTTGGACCACGGCTCCAAAAGAAGTAAAGGAATTATGGTGGAATGAGTTCAAGGTAAGTTTTGTCCTTCTATTTCCTCACAAACTAAGTTCGATTTAGCATACTGAGTGTACAATTATTTTTCTATTGATTGCTTGCAGCGAAAGTTCAGGTGGGATGAAGCGGAAGAGAAAGAAGTTAGAAGAATTTTTAAGAAGAAAGCCAGTGATCACATGCGAAATGTGATGAATAAAGCAAAGAGAAGTCAAGAAAAGCCGGATTTTATTACAGCTGACAATTGGGCGAAAATTAAGAGAACTTCGGACACCGAAAAGCATAAGCAAATCAGTAAAATTAATAAGAAGAATCGAGCTTCTAGTTTTAGTGAAGGGTCTGTCACATATGCTGGGGGCTCTATCAACATCGGGGAGCATAGAAAAAGAATGATAAGTCTTTTAAACATGTTGTAAGTTAAATCAATGATTACTCAATTATGTTTATATTTTGTAGGCAGATGAATTGGGGACGGAACCGACATTTATGGCTACATTTGAACGCACATTTCAGAAAAAAGATAAGACATGGACTGGCAATCAAGTAAAAGCTATTAAGGTATGTAAGGTTATATTTTGTATTTATATATATGAAGTTTTTTTTATTTTCATCTATATTGTTAATGTAGGACAAATATGATGAACTTGTAATGAGCACGGCTGCTGCTAGTGGTGATGGCGATGGTGATGGTGATGGTGTTGCTGCGTCCGAGCCATCGGTTGACAATATGGCATTATGGGTGGAGGCATCAGGTGGAATGAGAAGAGGTCAAATATTTGGGATGGGATCCTTGTCAAGGATGTACAGAAGGCCAGCTGCTGCAACTCCATCCTCCAGTGCGGCTTTTTTAAAGGCACAACACGAGCAGCGAACGGACCAAGAATTGAACCACCTGAAACAATTACTTGTACAGAAGGACGAAGAAATAAGAGGAGTGAAACAACATTTGCAATCGATCATGCGACACCTCAACCTCGAAGCTGATGACGTTCCTCCTATACCTCCTACTAATCCAATAAGTGATGGCCACAATGATGATGATAATGAGATTGCTGATGATGATGATGATCCTTGCTAGTAAAAATTTCCAAGAGGTACTTATATCTTTATGCTTCTGCTGTTGAATAGATGTAAAAAAATTAACAGGGGTTAGGAGTTTGATATTGTGATGTTTGCGCTGCAGATGGACAGGACTTCGATTCTTGGAGAACACTATAGACTACGTGAAAGAACTTCTTGGCAAGATCAACAGTTTGCCACAAGAGAGCGAACTGGCTAATTTAGAGCTTTGTTCCATTTCTTTCTTTTTGGGATTTGTTCTTGTCTTGACTGTGATTTTCTATCAATGTTAAATATATACTCTATAATTGCTGTTAATTAGATTTCAAATCGAAATCGTCCCTAAACAACATTCGTCGCTAAATTATTCATTAAAATTCATCGCCAAATTCGTTTCGAAATAATGTCCGTCACAAAAGCCAAAATTTTTCGTGGCAAAATACTGACCAAAAAAAAAATTTGGTTGTAAATTAGCCACGAATTTTGCCACGAATAAGTTCGTCGCAAAAAACCGACAAAAAAAAATATGGTCCCAAATTAGCCCCGAATTTTGCCACAAAATTTGTTCGTGGCAAATTAGCCACGAATTTTAGCCATGAATAAGTTCGTCGCAAATAATTGAAAAAAAAAACTTTTGTTGGCAAATTAGCCACGAATTTTGCCACGAAATTTGTTCGTGGCAAATTAGCCACGAATAAGTTCGTCGCAAATAATTGAAAAAAAAAAATTTGCTGGCAAATTAGCCACGAAATGTGTTTGTGGCAAATTACCCACGAATTTTGCCATGAATAAGTTCGTCGCAAATAATTGAAAAAAAAATTTGGTGGTAAATTAGCCACGAATTTTGCCACGAAATGTGTTCGTGGCAAATTACCCACGAATTTTGCCACGAATAAATTTGTCGCAAAAAAATGAAAAAAAAAAATTTTGGCAAATTAGCCATGAATTTTGCCACGAAATGTGTTTGTTGCAAATTAGCGATAAATTTTGCCACGGATAATCAGCAACGATTTTTGTCATGAAAATATTTTGTTGCAATTTCGCGACCAACAAAAAAAAATTTTAAAAATAATAGCGACGACTTTTGCCACGAATAGATCTCGTGGCAAATTAGCGACGAATTTTGCCACGAATATTTAGCCGAAGTTTGCCACGAGTAATTAGCGACGAATTGTGCCACGAATAATGTTCGTGGCAAATTAGCCACGAATAATGTTCGTTGCAAATTAGCCACGAATATATTTCGTCGCAAATTAGCCACGAATAATTAGCCACGAATTTTTTTCGTCGCAAATTAGCCACGAAAATTGAAATTTTCCGTGGCAAAATTTTGCGACGGCCTATTAGCGACGAATTTTTTTCCGTCGCTAATTTCGTCGCAAATTCATTTTGTCACGAATTTTGCCAAATTTTTCGTGGCAAAATCCGTGGCAAAACCCGGCTTTTTTTGTAGTGGTTCTTCCATTCATCGCACTTTTTGAAAGTTTTAGGACTCGATTGCACTTCGTGACAAGTTTTAAGACTCAATTGCACTTTTCTGTCAAGTTTAAGGACTTCCAGTTCATTTATTCCTAGTAAATATCATGTTAAAAAACACTTAAAGAAAAGCACTTCTCTATGCTCTTGCAAAACCAAATTAAACCCACGTATATAACGTGTGAACAAGGAACAAACACGTAAAATTGTTGATGACAATTCCTTGTACCATTTTCATCTGACCAGGACAGCGATGACTCCATGCCTTATCTCCGCCTTTGTCTCCAGAACGAGCCAAATTAAGTTGCAGCCAAGAGCGAACAAAAGCTAGAAAACAACTGAATGGAAAACCTCTTGCTTTATTCAGAACCGTTCAAGTTATTGTCATATGAATGTTAGGAGATGGCAAACTGATGATAATTACAAACTAATGCAAAATTATATATTAGCTCCAAGTATCTCAAATTTCATTACAACATGGGCAGAAAATGAATTCCAGGTTTTCCCTTTCTCCAAAACATGTCTTACGAGCAAAAAAAAGATTCTATCATTTTTGCGAAACCATTCGGTGAACATTCCTTAACTGAATATTCATTGCAAGATTTGATGGGACATACATGAGACGTATCATTATTAATAATGTATATTCGGCTTAGTATGTACGCTACACTTATCCTCCCGTTTTAAGTCCACGAATAGTTCTTTCTTTGCTCTTTATTTTGGGCATCCTTCTCTCTTCCTTTCAATTTTTATCTGTCTTGGGTCACGGTCAAGAAGCTTCTCGGCCAACACACGGCAATGAAGGGCTATGGCTATATAAAAACGATACCTTGCCCAACATTATCAAACCATCAACACATTGAAATCTCTCTCTCTCTCTCTCTCTCTCTCTCTCTCTCTCTCTCTCTCTCTCTCTCTCTCTCTCTCACACACACACACACACATTGACACCCACATACAGACAACTAAATACACACAGAAGAAGAAATGATGGAGGTATCAATACAGTCAATTGCACTAGCGGCGGTTCTAGCCATCCTGACGACATGGGCATGGAAGGTGGTGAATTGGGTGTGGCTGAGGCCGAAGAGGCTCGAGAGGCTCCTGAGACAGCAAGGCCTCTTCGGCAAACCCTACACCTTCTTGTTCGGAGACCTCAAGGAGAACTCACGGTTGCTCAAGCAAGCCAAGTCCAAGCCCATCGCTGTCTCCGACGACATCAAGCCTCGTCTCTTGCCTTTCTTGCATCAATCCTTCCAAACCTATGGTATGGATACCTTCATAGTAGCTCTGTGTGTGGCACTTTTATCTTTGTTTTCATTAAAGCTCGCTTTCTCTCTTCCTTTGGTCGATGCCATCTTTGATGAGTTTTACAACTTATGAATTTACTGCCCTAATAATTGGCCATTCATGCTTCCCATCTTGAATTTTGGCGACCAAAGATGGCAATATGCTCGTCTTTTAAATTAGGGTTAATACCACCAAAAACCCTAAACTGGTACGTGTGTGACAATTTTATCCCGAACTTTTTTTTTACCACCAAAAACCCCAAACTGGTACACCTGTGACAATTTTACTCCAAACTTTTTTTTTTACCACTAAAAACCCCAAACTAGTACACATGTAACAATTTAACTCCAAACTGATAAACCCGTAACAAATTTACCCTAAACTATTTTTTTGACCACGGAAAATCTCAAATTGGTACACCTGTGATAATTTTACCCCGAACTAATAATTTTTTAATTTTATTTTTTTATTTTTTTCTTTTTTTTTTCTTCATCTTCAACCTCTGGCCGGTCGCCGGACCGGCGACCGGCCAGAGGCGGAAGCCGGCGAGGTCGGCCCCGCCGGCCGCTGGCGAGGCTCGACCTCGCCGGCACGGGCGAGGGCCGCCCTCGCCGGCGTCGGGCGAGGGCTGGCCCGCCCCGAGGTCGGCCCTCGCCCGACTCAGGCGAGGGCTGCCCTTGCCGGCGTCGGGCGAGGTCGCCCTCGCTTGGGTGAGCAAGGACAGCTCTCGCCCGAAGCCGGCGAGGGCCGACCTCGCCTGGGCGGTCGAGGGCGACCCTCACCTGAGTCGGGTGAGGGCTGTCCTCGCCTGCTTAGGCGAGGGCTGGCCTCGCCCGACGCCGGCAAGGGCTGCCCTCGCCCGACTCAGGCAAGGGTCACCCTCGCCCGACGCTGGCGAGAGCGGCCCTCGCCGGCTTCCGCCTCTGGCCGATCGCCGGTCCGGCGACCGGCCAGAGGTTGAAGACGAAGAAAAAAAAAAGAAAAGAAAAAACAAAAAAATTAATAAAAATTCGAAAAAATAAAAAAATAATATTAAAATTTTAGTTCAGGGTAAAATTGTCACATGTGTACCAGTTTGGGATTTTTTGTGGTATGTTCAGGGTAAAATTATCACATGTTTACCAGTTTGAGGTTTTTGGTAGTAAAAAAAAAAAGTTCGGGGTAAAATTGTCACACATGTACCAGTTTGGGGTTTTTGGTGGTATTAACCCTTTAAATTATTACCTATTTTTATTTGACCAAAAAAAATTATTACTTATTTTGATATGCACACAATTCAAACACCATATCATCCAAGAGCGAACATCAAGCAAAAATCGTATATGACCACGTGCTTTCATATTTAAACTTTTACTCGGCCATTTAATAATATATTTAATACACATCGATGGATGATTGATATCTACGGACGCTCTGACTATGTGACTGACAAGACTTACGCCCATGTCGGCACCCTAAACGTCCAAGTCATCATGGTTGAAGATTCATGGATGTCAATTAAGATAGAAACATGTTTTGAGGGAGTCAAAGTCATTGTCATAGGGCAGAGACTAGACCCTTTTCGAACCATGCCCATACACAGTTGATGCATACAGTAGCACAAGATGCCAAGTTATTCACAATTCAGTGGGACCAAAATTCGTGTGGATAATAATGAGGAACGAGCCTTGGATGGATTTCTGCCACCCGCTCAAGTCTTCATGACCTGAGTTTCTGGTCTCTGTCCTTTTGGATTAACTGGCAATTCAATGACACGGGCATGAATCCATCAATCACTGGAAACACGTACCGAATGATTGGAATGATGGTGGTCACTGCCCTCAAAAAAGGCAAAAATTATCATTAAAGTTATGTTTGTGTAAGAAGTCGCGAGCCGATGGGGTCTCGGAGTAGGAACAGACCATGAAATTTTCGGTTTGTAAACATTTGGGATCCTTCACCATCACGTTAAAATTTTATTTTTTGATTTTTCCAAATAAAATGCAAGTGCCAATTTAGTAAGTTTTTCTTTTGAAAACGTAAGCAAGAAAGGCCCGATGTCTGGAGACCAAACGACTAACATGAGTAAAATGTTCTATTTTGACACATGATTCTATTTGTTAATGAGATTAATAAGATTTTGTTGACATTCATCGTTTGTTGTCATGAAATGATTCTTGATGTAGAAAAGACTTGTTGGTAATTATTATAACCATCATTTCCCCTCCCAATATAAATTAAATCACCCAATTGCATCTGCATGTATTCCTAGAGAGTAGCTGAGGATGTACTCTAAATAGTTCTTTTGGCAATTTGCCTCCTATTCTGCTGGATGCATTGCAGGCAAGGACTCGTTCATGTGGATGGGCCCAACACCGAGAGTGAACATAACGAATCCCGAACAACTGAAGGAGATCTTCTCCAAGATAAACGACTATCCCAAGC